GGGGTTTAGGGGTTTGGGGTTTTCTGGGCTTTATTAGGGGTTTGGGGTCTGCAAGTTTGGTAAGAGAAGGGTTTTGGGTCTGCAAGTTTGGTAAGAGTAGGGTTTGGGGTCTGAAAGTTTGGTTCGAGTAGGGTTGCAAGCCCTGCGCGACCACTGAGAAAGCATTCAACCTACCTGGTTCCTGAGTCGTACCCGTTGAACAAATACCATCTGAAGCGTTTTCGGATCTCTCCGGAGGTGCGCTACCTGCTACCAGGCACGATGATCCTGTTCACGATTCGTACAATCTCAAAAGTTCCCTTTGCTCGCGTGAATCCATCAGAAAGGGACCGACAAATGCGTTTGCTCAGGCAACCAGCAAACTCTAACCTGTGAGAAGAGATGCAACAACGTGGAAAAGAACTAAGTCGGTCCGAACCGAACCTCGCACATGCAAATAATGCGGGGGCCTACATCAATGCGAACTTCATGTTGAGGTTCATCTCAGGTACCCTTTACCATAGTCAGAAATAAACGATACAAGGAATCTACAACCATAATGTAAGTTGACAAGAAGTCAGAAACGCTTTCCCAGAGGCCACGTACTGCTCAACAGAAAGGCTGGAGATGTAAATTCCAGCGTTGGACCCCTAAACCCTAAACCCCAAACTCTAAACCCTGAATAAAGGGGCTGTATAATCCCCTATACAAACCCCTTGAAGAAGTTTAGGCTTAAGGGTTCAGGTTGGGTACAGCAACAGTTACCACAATGCACAATGGAAAGCCCCTTTAAGGACAGTTACTTGGAGGTGGAAAGACCCAAGGTACAAAACTGTAGGGCTTTGGTAACTCCACGTTCCACTCCAATGTAACAGTCTATACTAGGGTCCTATGAAGGGCTCCCAGGGTTTAGGGTTTAGGGGTTTAGGGTTTAGGGGTCCTAGTAAGGGCTATATATAACCGTATTATCAATATTATCCAACTGTTACTGAGTGGGGGCAGTATCCAAGCTATAGTCTAAACTTCCCAATCCTTCTTGAGAACCCCTATAATATTGCCCTAGATAATCCGCGATAATAACCCCCATTTAAGTAGCTTAGACTATAGATCACATGATGCCATCCCATTAATCAATACCTGGGGGTTGTAAACCTAATGGTCCCCTTGTTGGGAACGCCTATGACAACCCAGACCCCCTAAAGGATCCAAAAAATGGAACCCCTTAATAATCCCCTAGGTTCCCAATGTAAGAATGGAGCCATTTTGGGTGGTTTCCATTTTTTGGATCCTTTAGAGGGTCTGACAAAGTGTGTTGATTGGAGGACCCGGTTCATCTCACTGGCTCCGAGTGGGGAATAAGGCCATACACTCCCCGTATGATCCCTATATGATATATTCCCATATTCCCTGCTAAACTCAAACCGTATACATACATATATATATATATATGTGTGTATATGTGTGTGTATAAATACCTATATTCAATAAGAACTCCTACCTGTCGTCATGGAACTCCAACACTTTTTCTGCTCAGAATGGGCTGGCGGTCTGCAGCTCAATCTCCTGTGCCAGGCAACAAGCAGTGCTGTGTGATACTTTGAAGGCCGCCCAAATTCTTGCTGAAGTATATACATGTATACGGGGTTTAGTGTTCAGGGTTAGTACGGAATATAGGGATACAGTATATAGGGATTATATCTTCTTATTCCCTACTGAGAGCCAGCAAGAACTAGCTATTGAGGCCGCACATAGACAATAGAAGGCATCCAGAGGTCCCCAGCACCAGGCCCACCAACCCCCCGGCCCCCTTGAGGGCTCTTAGTCCGAAGAAAGATTTGCGTGCGGACATTGCCCTGCCCTAAAATGCAGCTTGGGCAGCTTGTCGCGGACAGCGCCCCCAAATTGCAGGGGCGCACAGTGCGCTTTCTGTTTGCCACAGTGCCACAGCGTCGGAAGCGTTGGTGCTGATACTGTTGCTGCCCACCATGATAACTTTATTGGTGTCCTGACCGCTACTTCCTCGGCGCGGGCGCGGGCGGCCGGCACGAGACGGACGGCGCGCAGCGATTACATATATGATAGTAACGGTAATCATCAAATACTAATCTATGATGGGATCATGGAAAAGACAATGGAAACTACTATTTCAGTCATTGTGATTATTGCAAATTGCCCCCCAGATTGTGATTGGAGAGGCACAGGCACGCTTTGAAGACCAGGCTTTCAGAACAACCCCCTTTTGGGGAGTCTCTAGAATGAGGATTTTGGTACAGTCTACATTGGGGTCCCCCATTTATGGAGACCTCCAAGTGTGCGGTATCTGACATGACTAGTGTTTTCTTTGGTGGTGGAGCCGAGCAAGAATATATACGTGCCATAAATGGTATAATCTTACTCTATACTGAGGATTATAGGATCCACAAGTGAAAATGGGCTCAGCTGTAGCCCTAACACGAAGCAGCACGAGCATTAGGTTTACCAGTCTGCGGAGGACAAGCACATGCTTCCAACACAAGCACACGGCCTCTCATCAGCAAAGCGACCCAAGCAAAAACGGGTTCAGGGTACAATGCACATAATAAGTTCAAGCTCTGCTCCCTGCCGCCCTCCAGAAGCTTTGAACGCTCAAGGGGGGTCGTGATGGGGTGTTTCAACGTGAGCAAGCTACACAATGCCTTCTTCAGATGATAACAAAAGAATAGCTTAGCAACGCTAAAGGCATTAACAACATAAATGGCGCCTGATGACACAACAAGCAACAAGAACGACAACAATCACAACGACGAGACTACCAGCAAGAAAAACAACCACAATAACAATCGCACAAATAGCAAGAATAAGAAGAATAATACCAGTAACAATAATAGGAATACTAATAACAGTAACAATAATAGCAATATTCATAAAACAATAGCAATAATAACAAGAGTAATGGTTATAATAGTAACAACAATAGCAACAGCAATTATGCAAAGCATGCATCTCCTGGGACTCGCGGAAACGCCGCTGCCCGCCACTTTGTCGAGACCAGCGGACCAGCAGCGCAGCTAAAGCTACGAAGAGAATGATGACCCCAGCCATGACCTCATTAATGTAGACCCATGATTAATGAACCCCTCCTTTTAAGGCCTTAATATTATGATCTCAACTATAATCCCTACTAAGGGGAGGGAGTTTGTTGATCATGGGTCTTGGTTAGTAGGGTTTAGGGGGCAGGAACTTTAAAGTGCAGGGTTTAGGGGGTCTAGGGCGCAGAAATGTTGAAGTGCAGGATTCAGGAGTTCAGCAAAAAGCCATTTAGTGGCTTCGGCAACAGAATTGGGGGGGTTGGTGGTATGACTGCGCCAATCATGCTCATGTCCCATAGTCAGGGTGCGACCAAAGAAACAAATTCCTGGTGTACTTATGTTGGAAACTCACAATTGAGGCCTAGCACTGCAAGGGCAAAAAGGTCCTACAAGATGTGTCGAATGAATCAGGTATGAGTGCCACAAGCAACCGAGTTTCCCAGATGAAGAAGCTTTGTTCTTCAGCTTGCCCAGGCGCAGACGGGTGCGTGGTGGTAGTATCCTCAGCCGGCTTTAAAAGCAAATCAAGACTTCATGCATTGCGATTCCGCCATTCAGGTGCCTTGTTCTTCACCTGTACAACAACTTGCAACCTGCAGTGTGCTGGAATTTGGGCTACTAGCTAGGCGTGTCTCACAGGCCCACCGAACCTGATATCCTGGTGGGTAAGGACATCCACGATCTTTTGGCATCGAACACTCTGTTGTACAGGCCTGTCTTTCAGCAGTTTCCAACAACTACCGCAAGAAAGTGAAGGTGGTGCAAGACTGGCCAGAAGCCCGCCAAATCCCCTGTATAACCCCCACAATATAGTAGTTTCCAGTTTATTTTCCATTATCCCCGTATAGCCCCTATATAACCCCTAAACATATTATACCCTTATATAACCCCCTGCTAGAAGACCCGCTCAGCGTCTTCTTGTAGGCTGGTGAGCCCCAGGCAACTTCCCTCCTGGAAAAGTCTGAGCGCAGATTGTGCTGCGAGTGCTGTTACTGGAAACTGGTAAGGTAATATAGGGGTTTCCTAAAATCAAGGGTACCTTTTCGGGGGTCCCCATAATAAGGACCATAATATTGTGGGGTCTATATTGGGGTCCCCCTATTTAGGGAACTACCATATAAGGGTAATATTGGGATACTGGAAAAGAAAATGCAAACTACTATTCAGGGTGTCGGGTTTAGGGGTTTAGGGGTATAGAAGCCGCCCTTTGCTCACTGTGTGGTGCTTGAAACACTTCTTGGAGCTGCTATTTCGCGCCGCTGCCTTCTAAGTTTTGAAGTGTTTGAGCACACCAACACACGTTTCGATACTATGTGAGCCCTTGTCTAAACTCCTGGTATCCCCCTTGATATCCCCTATAGTAGTCCCCTATAAAATCCCCTATATAATGCCCTTCAAGGAGTTTAGACTGTAGCTCATGTACAAGTCCACCAGCCGTGCACTACAGAGGAAAGTCTGGAGCACATATGAGCTGTGGTCTAAACTCCTAGTATAACCCTTAATAGCCCCTATACTACTCCCCTATATCATCCCCTATATAATCCCCTTTAACTTTATAACCCCCTTAAAGGAACTCAGGCTATAGCTCAAGTGCAGCTGTATGGCAAGGCTGTCCTTGACACGGTACTCCATGGAGCACATGGCATCATCATCTTTAGTCAGTAAGACATACAGGGCCGTCTGCAGAGCACCCTTCTCCGTCTGATTCCGCTGGGTATCGAAAGCCTTTTCTGACTTTGGCTGCTAAAGCTGCATGTCGTGATGGGATTCAGACGTTTGTTTATGGGTTCTTAAACACAAAAGCTCCTGTTTCAATTCCGAACAAAACAAACAGACATGTGGTGCCCTCACAGCTGCCCAGATACAATGCCCCAAATCATCTGGGGCCTTCTCTGCGCATTGCAAGTTAAATAGACAGCAGAAACAAGACAGAAAAGACAAGACTGTAACATTCCTCGCATGCGAGACGCATGCTTCCAAAACTGGCCATAAGAACCTCAAAAAGGCCGCAAGCGTACCTTCCCTAGCATTGCATGTTCACCTCGATCATCCTGAACGCGAACCCTGCACCTTGGGAAACCTGTCACGCTTTTATGCCAAGGCCTAGGAATCTAAATGTTACTCTGTAGGCTCCAGCACCAGTGGAGTTCAGGTTGGAGTTCTGCACAATCTCAAAAGGCACACGCAGCAAGCGCTCTATAGAGTGCAACTGCTCATACTCCGCCTTCGGACCAGTCTCACAGCGCCAGTGCACCTGTTCGGGATCTCCGACACGGGCTTGCTGCAAGTCAACCTGCAATTGTCAAGACTTCAATAAGGGCTCCATCTCAAGGCCCCTAACAGAAGGAGTTTCATACTTTGGGACCTAGATTGGGGCCCCCCGCCATGTCAGTCTTGGGGCACCGGCCAGGGGTCTGGTACGCTTGGTTTGCAGATTCATTCCTGGGTCTCTGAGGACAGGAGCCCTTCGAGGGTTCCGGCTTTCCAGGATCCCCAAACCCTAAACCCAAACCTAGAACCCTGGAACAGATTGAAACCTGGTTTTCATCCAACTAGCTCTCTTCAGGTCCTAACGAGGCCAGAAGAATAAACGAGTACTGTAGGCGCCAAAATAGTTGCAACTATTATGACAATATCGTCCCCTAAAGTAGACAGAATATGGGGTACATGGGGATCTTATAATTTAGCCAAAGCAATATTCTATCTACTTAAGTGGGACTATAATTCAATGTGGAGATGCCCCATACCATAGTTGTACAAGGCCAGAATATTGGTAATTATTCAGGCTTTGAATGTCTTTTTTCATTGCCTTCTGTAACCTCTACAGATCCCTACATATCCCTATACAGCCGCTCTCTCAACCTGAACAACATCCTAAGCCCGAAACCCCAAACCCTGAACCCGATGCCCTGAACCCTGAGCCCTAAACCCCAAACCCTCAACCCTCAACCCTAAATCCTTAACCTGATCCGGTAGTACCAAAAAAGTAGGTGCCCTCCCTGCAAGCCTCAGAGATCTGCCTTGGTTGGTATAGGGCTTCAAGGCTGAGGGTTTAGGGCTTACCTAAACCCCAAAAGTATGTAAAATAATGGCCTTTAGGGCTATTATTATGGGTTTAGGGCCATTATTTTACATATCTTGGGGGTTTAGGTAGGGTTTAGGGGTTCAGGGCTTAGGTGTTTAGAGTTTAGGGTCTAGGTGTTTAGGGTTTACGGCTTAGGTGTTTAGGGTTTAGGGATTTTACGACTTGGTTTGGGGAGCAGAGAATGTATGATGTAGAGGCATTGCAAAGGGATTCTGCAGAGGGCCTAGGTTTTGGCCGATATCCTTCTGAAGCTTATTTGCGGCGACAATGTTGATAAAATTAGGCTGCTTCTACATCAGGGTGTTTACCATTTACAGTAGGGCTTTTGAGCTCATTTATGGCTCTGGGTTTTGGGAGCTCAGAGTTCAGGGTGTTGCCCGGGAGTTTGAATGTGGCAAGTAGCCATGGGAATCAGGGACCCGACCCCAACCCCTTAAATGATTCACAAAATGAACCCCACAAAAATGCCTCCTAATGTGTCCACTGCAGCAATGTTTTTTTGGGGGGGTTCCTTGCTTTGGATCCTGCCGGGGTTTCGGAATGTGTTGAATTAGGGGAAGGAAGGAATGGAGGACGGCAATTACATTGAGGAGTATCTAGGGCTACTGTATATAGTACCTATGGGATCCATACGAACATGTCCTAGCCTCCTCAAGCCTATACAAAACCTTACATCCTCAGCCCCTGTCAAACACTATAATGTAGGGGCTTAAGGGCTTACCAATTTGATGTTGAGGTCTATTTGTGGCACCCTATACTTTAAGCATACAGAGAATTTAGGACGATAATACCGGTATTCATTTAGGAGCCTACTATAGCTTCAATTTAAAATCTATCCCTAACCCTCCCACCGACCCCAAACCCCAAACCCTAAACCCCAAGTCTCCATCTTACTCGCCCCCTGTCCGGCACCTTAGCACTGTACATCGACTTCTTGAAGCCTGACCAAATCGGAGGTTGCCCCTCTTTTGCGATCGCCCTAAACCCTAAACTCTAAACCCCTCGGTGGCCCCAGAGGTGACTGGGTCAAATACTGTGACACTTTGAAATTCTTTGGGGTTTAGGTTGGGTCAACCCCCCGCCCAGTCATGGGTACCACAGGGTTCTGTTGTGGGTATATTAAGGCTGTATGAACTCCATATTAGCTGCAGGGGGGAGTGACCTAGGGTTTAGGGCTTAGGTTGTGCTGATCATTCCTGGCAACTAGCAACACCAATCTGCGCAGCATGACCCTAAAGTGCTCTAAAACCTGAACTGTCGACCATAAAACTGGTGCAGCCCTAAACCCTCAATCCTAAAACTGCTAAGCGCTTAAGCCTCAACCCTCCTGAAGCTCCAAATGCCTAAGCTCACTTACGAAGCAAACACAAACCCAGATCCCTAAATACTATCCCAACACAACCCCAACATTTTCCCAGCTTCCAGGTCATTTTTCCATTCTCTTTTCCATTTGAGCTGATATTCCAGTTATATAGGCGCCTACACCCCAATCCCTCTCACTCTCACTCACTCACGCATTCACTCTCTCTCTCTCCTCTCTCTTTCCTTCTTTCTTTCGTTCACTCTCTCTCTCTCTCTCTCCCTTTACATATATGTCCATAAATCCCTATAAAGCCTATGGAGCTCTATCTCCCCCCATAAGACCCATGACATAGTCCACCCCGGGCGGCATGGGATGGAAAGCTCCGGGTGCTCACAGGCAGTTAGCTCCGGCTTGGCTTGGAGAGACGTGGGCCCCTCATCCTCCTTTGGGTTTAGGGTTTAGGGCTTAGGGTTTATGGGTTAGGGCTTAGGGTTGCTGCTAAGGAACAAGTACACGGTTTCAGGCTTAGGGTTTAGGGTTTGGGCGGTTAGGATTTTAGGGCTTGGGGTAAGAGTAAAAAGGACAAATATACATAAGTTGCCATAACATGGACTTACATAGCTGAATATGGGTATATGAGCATAAATATATATAATATGGTACAAATTCCAGATATTTATCCTAATACGGGATCATCATATTGGCAACTTGCTCAGTTCCTCAACAGCAGCCCAGAAGAGAGGAGTCCGACTTCTTCTGAAGTGTGCTGCTCTTGGGGAATCCCACGTAGGGTGTCGACTCTGTACCAATACTGGATTGATTAAGGCAATTTGAAGACTCTGATTTGGGGCACACTCTCAAGCCATAGAAGCCATCCAACTCAGTTTGGCTCTCTGTGCATGGAAGCCACCCTCTCCATGCCACAAAGACTGCATCATTGCTAGATAAGCCCCTGCAGCACTCCTTGGGGGATGGGAGTTGGGTTGGGAAACCCTACGCCCCAGACCCGAATCTCCTCTGGCTCCATCCGCAAGGCCATTATGCACTGCAAGTAGCACTGCATGACAGATCTTGCCTCAACAACGTGTGCAATCAAGCCGCCCTTTCAGAGGCCGGCATCAACAAGGATCATTCCAACTATGTCTAGCAAGGGCTGCTTCGGGGAAGCTAACTCGTGATAACTATGTTTGCGTACTAAGATGGGAGGATGATAAATTCGTGTAGCTGTTCAAAGGCTTGGGGGTATGCCATTGTCCGAAGGGTGTCTACATGAGCCACTGTCTAAACTC